ATGTTGAACACTTTCTTATGTGTCTTTCAGCCATTTTAGATTCCTCTAATGAGAATTGTCTATTTAGTTCTGTACCCCATTTTTTAATTGGATTGTTTGGTGTTTTGGAGAATAGCTTCTTGAGTTCTTTGTATATTTTGGAGATCAGTCCTCTGTCAGATGTGGGGTTGGTAAATATCTTTTCCCAGTCTGTAGGCTGTCGTTTTGTCTTGCTCACTATGTCCTTTGGCTTACAGAAGCTTCTCAGTTTCAGGAGATCCCATTTATTAATTGTTGATCTCAGTGTCTGTGCTACTGCCAACTTTTTTTTTAATTAGAAAGAGGATTGATTTACATAACAGTCCCAGTTCCTTTCTCTCACCTGTCCTCCCCTACCACCACCACCCCAACTAAAACCCTTTCTATCACATATCCTTTATGCTCCCCCTGGATGGTGAGGCCTTCCATAGGGTGTCATCAGAGTCTATTGTACCTTTGGGATAGGCCCTAGGCCCACCCCCATGTGTCTTGGCTCAGGGAGTATTCCTCTACATGGAATGGGCTCCCAAATTCCACACCTATGCTAGGGATAAGTACTGAACTTCTACAGGAGATCCCGTAGATTTCCATGGTTTCCTCACAGAAACCTATGTTCCTGGGGTCAGGATCAGTCCCATGCTGGTATTCCAGCTATCAGTCTGGGGAGCAAGAGTTCCCAGATGTTCAGGTCAGCTGTTTCTGTGGGTTTCACCAGACTGGTCTGGACCCCTGTTCTCTTCATTCGTCCTTCTCTGCAACTGGATTCCAGTTCACTTCAGGGATTAGTTGTGGGTATCTGCTTCTACTTCCACCAGCTGCTGGATGAAGGCTATAGGATGGCATATAAGTTAGTCATCAATCTCATTATCAGGGGAGGACATTTAAGGTAGCCTCTCCTCTGTTGCTTAGTTAGCTGGTGTCATTTTTGTAGATCTCCAAACATTTCCCTAGTACCTGATTTCTCTGTAAACCAAAAATGTCTCCCTGTATTATGATATCTCC